TAAGACGCTGAGCTTGTTGATCAGAAAGATCGGCAGTTTGAATCCCTAGCATTGTATAATGGAGTGAGCTCCCATTACTTGTCCCAGCTTCTGCCAATCTAGCAGCTCAAAAGCATGTAAAAATGCAAGTAGAAAAATAGGGACCACCTTTGGTGGGAAGGTAACAGTGTTCCGTGCGCCTTCAGCATTTAGTCATGCCAGCCACATGACCACGGCTCTTTGGCTTTGGAACGGAGATGAGCACCACCCCCTAGAGTCGGGAACGACTAGCACATATGTGCAGGGGAACCTTTACCTTTTATCTTAATGTTTAAACATGCTTGAACGTTTTCCCAAATATGGTTGAGTTCAGCTCTGGGAAGAAATTAGGACATTTTTAAATAAATCAAGATGGGAAAAACCTACAGAACATGACTCTGAAATGCTTTCCCATCCCTTTAGCAACTGTGGTCATAGGTGAGGTCTCTATTTTCTTCTGTTGCATGTTATACCTGCTCGTATTCATGCATGCAGGTAATCCTCTATTTATGACCACAATTGAGCCACAATGTTTCCTTTAGTAAGCAAGACATTGTTAAGTGAATTTTGCTCCATTTTACAATCTTTCTTGCCACCATTGTTTAGGGAATCACTGCAGTTAAGTTAATAACATGGTGGTTTAGTTCATCTGGCTTCCCCATTGGCTTTGGTCAGAAGGTAGCTCTAAGTGATCACATGATCCTGAGACATTGCCACCACTATAAATACATGCCAGTTGCAAAGTGTTCGAATTTTGATCACGTGGTCACATGACCAGGGGGATGCTGCAACTGTTGGTGTAAAAAACAGTCATGAGTAATTTTTTCCCCAGTGTTGTAACTTTGAATTAGTTGTCACTAACGTACAACTAATGGTTGTAAATCAAGGACTACCTGTATGTATTTCTGCATTTCTTCATATTGTATGTGCGTGCACGTGCATTGCTAGAAATCAGGAAAGCGGTTACAGTAGACGTTTTTGACATTGAGATGCTATCCAATTGCCTCTTCCCATAAGGATCATTGAGAAAATTTAGGGATTTGCTTATCTGTAGCACTAAGTTAGATCTGGTCCATTTTTCATTCCAGCCTTTCCTTTTCCAGTTGGTCCCGCAGGCCCCAGAACTTGGTTTCATTTGCTTCAGTCTTTGAAAGAGTTATTGTGCTGATGGACAGACAGGCAGAATTCCAAGATTCTTTATACATTCTTTCTCAGATGAATTTTTCTTCTTCTTTCAGACTACCGATAAAGAAGTTCCAGGTTTAGTGATAATGCAAGATTTGGTGTTGCTGAAAGGATTTCCGCTTACTTACAAAGAGACAAACCAGCTAAGAGCAAAGCTGCCAGAAGTCCTCGTTTCCAAAATAAAACAGGTAGGATGGTGGGAACGTGGGGAATGAAACTGCCAATTCAATAAGGTAAAAGGTAAAGGTTCCCCTCGCACATATGTGCTAGTCGTCCCCGACTCTAGGGGGCGGTGCTCATCTCCATTCCAAAGCTGAAGAGCCAGCGCTGTCCGAAGACGTCTCCATGGTCATGTGGCCGGCATGACCAAATGCCAAAGGTGCACGGAACGCTGTTACCTTCCTACTAAAGATGGCTCCTATTTTTCTACTTGCATTTTTACATGCTTTCGAACTGCTAGGTTGGCAGAAGCTGGGACAAGTAACGGGAGCTCACTCGGCCTCACAATTATAAATAATAGGATATGCTCTCTACTAAATGCTATCTTTCGTTTTCCGTTCTTCTCTATCACATTTATTTTATCCTGCCCAATATTAAAGGAAGAATACTCCTAAAATCAAAACTGAAATTTGAAAACTTGGAGATCCATAAAGCTATCCTATCTTACCATGATGTATCAATTCATTGGAAAAACATAGTACTAAAATTAAGAAATTGCAGGATAACAGGAGCCAAGTGCTGATTTATTTATTCACTCATTTTCAACATTTATATGCCTGTGTATACTATATAAAACAGCCCTAGCCAACTAACATATACATGCATAATAAAAACACAAGTTTAAAACTCTTAACATATCAGCAGCACAATGCCCTCTCAAACACGCACACGAAAGGGTGAACTGACCTCCCTTCGTATCCAAAATTGAACCTGAGACAGTTGATGTTGACCACTTTAAAAGTTGGTTGAATATCTATGGAAATGTTTCCAAGAATTCCAAGTTTTTAACAGCCACATGTTATTTAAATTTAGGATTTAATTAAACGCGTGGCAGAATTGGGAGAAGGGATGTTAGTTTGTTCTATTACCCTTCTTGAGACAAATATTGCATTTACTTCTTAGTAGATACAAGAAATAACTTCATAGATTTTTATGTCTGATCACTAGGTGTCACTGTAGCCTTATCATATACATTTGAATACTGAGTTGGCTTCCCCAGAATTTTCCCAATTTTCATTTTCCCATATGAAAAATACATTTTGAACTATAATTCTACTCCCAACCTACAGACACTGTATTTCAAAGAGATTATGATTCATCACAAAGAAAATGTAGTTGGCTCCATATAGGTCATATTATATATATAATCCACTATAGTGATGGCAAAACGTTTAGGATCTCCTGTTTTGATGTTTGTCAAGTCCACAAAACAGGAGGTCCTAAACATTTTGCCATTGCTATAGTGGATTACAGCATTCAGAAGTCTCACCTAGGAATTTGTAGAATTATCATGTAACGTATCTAAATATTAGGATAGTTTACAAATTGAATCTCCTTATATATCTCCCATCAGATCCCAAAATTTTAAAAAAAATCCATGTTAAAAATTAAAACTATTTTTTACTTAAATTTAAAACATGGAGTTAATTACCAAAAATCTCATAAGCTTATCCCCAAGAGACTGGATATTTAAAAAGTAGTGCCGGCGTTAAGAGAATTATCTGTCAAACCTTGCCAGTTTTCTACAAGTTCCCTGGTCTTAAACTGGGAATCATTGCTGTATATGGGATTCTTTGATATTTAGGAAGGTATATGTTGCTGGGCAACAGATAAATTAATGCAACATTCCCACATGGAATGGAACTTTTGAACACGATATAAATATATATAACTGCAGAAAGGACTGTGTGACATTGTTGAGCTTGTAAAGTCATACAAGGTTTCTGAGGGCGGTTTTGCAATCTGTAGCATTATTTTTGGAGAGTGTCTTCATAACTCACCTTGGTCTTAACTCCAAGGACGCTAGTCTTTCATCAGATTGTCTAGAAGATAATGCCCTGGAAAGACAGAGATTTATCAGATTGTCCTAACGGTAGATGTCATGAATCATATTTGGAGCTATCCGGTAGCAAGAGAATATCAATCATCCACAGCCTTAAAGTGTCATAAGTGACAGCTGGTCTTACATTTATGATTGAATGAAATGGATGAAGTAAACAAATGTGGGAAAGGAAAGGGGAAAGGTCTGTTTTAATAATTCTGGTTCAAAGCTAAGTTACCTTCCATTTATGATAGCTGAATAAGCAGGCAAGGCAAGTATATTTTATAATATCATGGTCCTGCTTTGCCAGAATTGTCTGGTTTTCTAAGGAAATCAAAATGTTTTACAGTAGTCTTCAACTTACTACCGCTAATGACAGCTTGCAGGTTATAATAGCACTGAAAAAGGGACCTACAACAGATCCTTGCACTTACAACCATTGTAGTATTCCCAAATGTCACATGATAAGAAATTGGGTGTTGGGCTACGTATCTAGAATACTTGCAGTATCCATTCCCCATTTTCAACCTTCCCAGCCAGCTTCTGTTTGTTCTGACCTAGGCTTCCCAAAAAGTATGAGGCAGAATCCTGGTCCCGACAACACCCCTTTTTATTAAACCAATGTGATTTCCTATCATTCACATTCAGCAAGGCCTTGTAGTCTTTCAAAGGAATATTTATGACTATAGACTTTATCTATCTTGGAAAGCTGCCATGTAAATGTTTTCCAAAGATGCTGTGCAAGGAAAGGCTGGGCACAGAGTCTCTGAGATTCACGGACAGATCTTCATACTCCTGAAACAAATCTAATGCCCAAATGAATGAATTGTTTTCTGCAAAAGCTCACTCCCCTTTTGCTCCGCTTTTATTTCCTATGGGAGGCACCAATCACCATCCACCTGTGAACTTACTCCCAAGTTGAACCTTGTTCCTTAGTTGTTCCCTTCGTCTGGCAGCTCTGTGCATGCGTATACTAGGAACAGGCTCTAGCTCTTCCTCTGCCTCACTGCTGTCTAGCTCTGTAGGCACCTGATCACTACCAGACAGCCTCGGCACTGTCCCTGCCTCCAACGCAGAGGCTCGTCCAAGCCTTCCCTAGCCTCCAGGCCCATGTTCCTCCTCAGCCTGCTCACTGCTCGACTCTGCTGCCAGCTCTGCTGGCCACTGGCCACAACACTGTTAAGTCAATGAGGGAAGCCCGATTCATTTAGCAATCGTGATTCACTTAACAAAAGTAGTGATGACAAAAAAGATTGTAAAATTGGACACAGCTCACTTAAGGGCCTTAGCAATGAAAATTCTGGCTCCAATTGTAGTTGTAAGTCAAGGAAGACTGTATTTAATAAAGTTCTTAGTCTAGTTTCAGATAGACATTGTTCACCTAAGAAGCTATATGTTCTTTTAGATTAGTTAGCACTGAAAGATTACACGTACATGGGTTTCTTTTAGTGTGTGGCATTTACGGCATTCAATTGAAAAAACGTACCCTTCCCCCATTTATCAAAATTGCTTGTTTTGTAAATTTGCCCTGTTCTTAATTTTATGTAATATGTAATATGTAATATGTATAAAAACAATATCTCTGAACATCCCAGCTATGAGTTTTTTCCAGTTTGAAAATTCTTTTAGGTAACAGTGGAAAGGAAACAACATTTTTTAAAAAAGCAAATGGATAGCAAACTTCAAAATGGATTTTAGTACGAAGGCGATTCAATTTGTTACTTATTTTCATCCTGATCATTTATAATAGGTTTATACTGAGGCAGGTTAGATCAATACCATTTTAGCTGTTTTTGCTGGTTTTTTCCCCCATAATTTCCATCCCCCCCCCCCAAATATATCTGGCATATGCTTTATCTGAGGATAAAAACATCAATTTGCTATTTTCACTGCTCTCTGATGCAAAGTCAACCACTTGTCTTTTCTGAAAGCAGACATCTAAAATAACTGGTGGCAAGTGACAAAAATAGCAGATCAAATGTTTTCCTACCTTGCAACATGCTTGTAATAATGACTGAGGAAGATCAACAAACGGATTTGTTTTCCTTTCCTTTATCTCACTTTTCTCTGTGCTTTAAGTCAGTATTTCTTAACCTGTGTAACTAAGTTTTATCCTGTCTGGGGAATTCTGGGAGTTGAAGTCCACACTTCTTAAAGTTCCTGAGGTCACGAAACACTGCTTTAAGCTAGGTTCAAATGCTTTGGAGAATACTGTGCACAGTTAAATAGTTTGTTTGGAAGTTTCATTACAAGATATTGTTTGGTATCTCAATATGATACTAAGGATAAATAATGTATTGTTCAGGGAGATATAATGTAAGGATTATAAAGTGTTTATTTTAATTAAAAATAAATCCAGATTTATAGATCCTAATGTAAAGAATATCAAAGAAACCAGCTGATACAGGATTTAACACAATTGACCTTCTGAAGCAGAACTTGAATTGGAAACAAATTATGTTTTCACACTTTTCTCCTCTCTTGTGTTGCTTTTCTATAAAAATTCTTTGTCAAATAATAGTTTGTCATTTTTAATCTAATAAATAGGCTTATTAGTACTTCCAAAATCAGGGTTGTATATTGGTGCCAAATCTATGTATTGTAACAGATATAATAGAAAGCCATGTGAGTTGTGAAAAAGGGAGAAAAATAACTAATTTCATTCCAGGGTCTGAAAATGTTGCTTTTCCATACAGTTGCAGCTTTATTCTGAAGCCAGCGTAGCACTCTTGCAACTGATTGATCCTAAGGTTTTCCAAGAGCTGAACAAACAAGCAAAGAAGAATATGACTATAGAAGGAAAAGAACTCACCCTTAATCCAGCTTATTTATTGTGGGATCTCAGTGCCATCAGCCAGGTAGGGAAAATTCTTTAAGTAAGGAAAAAAACATTGAACATTGTTCAGATTTCCTTTAAAAGAAGGAGGGAGAAAGAAGTAGAAAATAGAATGGTATTAATACACAAATATATGTTTAAAAGATCTTACGTGTGGAATCACTATAATGTAAAATAAAAGGAAGAAGAGGGAAATTAAGAGTGGTATGTAAATACAGATCCAGGTTTGCTCGAACGCCATCCAAAAAATATATCAGAGTAAAGAAAATATGAAAACAACAACAATGGAAGGCGGGAAGGGAGAGAGGAGGAGAGGAGAAAAGAGGAAAGGAGAGGGAAGGGAGGAAGGATAAAGGAGAAGAAGAAAGGGAGGGGTGGTAAGAGTGGGAGAGAGGGCAGGAAAGGGGGGAAGAGGGGAGGAGTAGGGGAGAGGAAGGGAAAGAAGAAAAGAGAAAGGAGAGGAGGAAAGAAAGTAGAGAAGGTTTAGGTTTAGGTTTAGGTTTTATTAGCATTTGTAGGCCGCCCTTTTCCCTGAGGGGACTCAGGGCGGCTCACAGAAAACCAGGGAGAGGGGAATACAACATTAAGCTGGGACAAGTAATGGGAGCTCACTCCTTTATGCGGTGCTAGGGATTCGATCTGCTGAACTGCCGAACTTTCCGATCGACAAGCTCA